TTATATATTTTTTATATATATTTATATACGGCATCCATATATTTGGTTGCTTTATTATATATTTGTGTATCGTTATTTTTAGAAAAAGTGATTTATTGGACATACCTTAATCTGATAGCTTGCCTATTTGCTGATGCAAATTTGCACTTATTATTATGTCTAAATAATTCCTGTAGCAAATAAGTGAAATTAATTCTAAGTATTAATACCTTTAATTTCTTCCCTTATCTATGCCAATCTTAGCGCAATAATTCAGCAAGAAATGCTATACCATATTCCCAGACATGTGGCGCCTACTAGGCCCAGTATATCATGTCTGTTGATCTGATTTCTGATTTTTAACATGAGCAAAATGCTAGTTTACACATCCTTTGTTTTTTGAAGCATTATCTAGCAATAGTCAGAAAGATTTCAATTGGATATAATAAGGACTTATATACATATTTGGGATACAATGTATAATGATCTATGCTGCGAATTTCAAACAGAGTTTCATTGTGATTAATTTGCCAATTTAACGAACTGTCATTTTTTATTTCTGTGATTCTCAATTATATTGTAGCCATCTGCACTCTCTATGAAGCCTTTTCGATTGTATCTAGTATACTATATGAAGCCGGATGAACATACATCAAGAATTTATAAATTTTATTGCTAGCTCCATTTTAGGGTTCATTTTGCGTACTTAAGTTATATCGAATTCTGTAATGGAGAGGATGAATGTGAAATAAATTAGGGCTGTATCATAATTAGAATAATTTATTTTCTTTGTCAAAGTTTACCGAAAAATAGTTGATGGTGCTATATTTCAGCATCCTAACCTGCTGGAGTAGGATTATATGATCTATGTCTCAGATGAGTACTCAGCTGGGAACTAGGTTCTTCTGGCACTCAGGATTTGGTCGGATCGAAGGAATGGCTTACTGTCTCACTTGAAAGAGTATTGGGTGATGACTCCATCCCGGGCAAATTGGTTGGCCTTTGTTGCGGCTTTTGACTATTGTGCATCGGAGCCGTGCTAGTTAACGGTAGCATCCTGTTTTCTTGAAATGTAAAAAATGCAGTTGAAGCATCTTGCAACTCACGCTCTCGAATGGATTGTTGATTTCTCAGAGCAGTAGCCAGAGGTGAGACACTATCATTCAAAGAACGACCTGTTATCTGTCTGGCTCCAAGGAGGGTAGAGTTAGTTTCTAATGGGATGCTGACAGGATCTATCAAGTTTTCAGAAACATAATCTGAAAAGATGCTATTGAAATAGGGTCCGGCATGAAGTGTGGGTGAGAGAGGAGGCGAAAATGAGGATGGCATATCTATCAAATAGGAGTAATCTTCCGAATCTATGCGTTTTCTAGTCTGTATAATGGGTGCATTGGCAGTTGCCGAGGTAATTAATCGGCTTGGTGAGCCACGATCACGTGGCTTAGATTGTGACGCATCTCCTGTATTTGCCCCAATGCCCTGGTTAAAGCCTGCTCTTAAGTTATTGCACAACGACCTTGGAGAGGATGAAAGTTCCTCCATTGTGCTTCCCAGAAGGAGGCTGGTTTGTAACCCTGTAGTGCCGGAGAAACTTGAACGGCAAACTGATGTAGTTGGTGTTGGATTCCGTATGAAGGAGCTGCTTGTCGTGATCGCTTTTATGCTGCTTCCATTATCTGACACTTTTTCGTTGAGATAGCTGTCATCTGAACGTATTGGTGATACCAACGCCCAAGACTCCTGGTTATCTAAACTGTCGCGATTGATTGCTCCGTTTCGCCCAAAACCTGGAATAGATTCAGCGGGGCTAATTCCCCGAATTCTGAGTTGAGGCTTTTGCATTCCCTTGGCGTCAGGATCTTCCACCTGCCTAGACCCGGTAGTTAGATCTTCAGGCCCGTCCGTTCGTCGTAAATTGTTGCTACAGCTTTGTACGACGCCTCCTCCAGATAAAGAATGAGCATGGAAACTATCTGTTGACATTGGGCCATAACTACCACGCTTTTGCCATGTATGAAGTGCTAGTGCCCAATCTTCATTGTCACCAGTTTTTGGGTCCTCAGAAGATGTAGGTAATTGGCTTAAGGATACTCTTGTTTCGCGGTCTGATGCCTCAGAGTTGCTCTAAAAATGAGAATACAATAAAAGAATATTTTAAAATAATACATTTAAATGTCATTTTGATAAAATTATTTGCAAGAATTGTGATGATCTCGTCATGAAAACTAAGATATTTTGGGCAACAAGATATTCTGACCTTTTATCAATATGACTAGCATTTTCGGAGTGGCCCAAATTTAATTACTCTAGCTCA